ATACCGCTGTGCCACTGGGGGGCAGGGCGCAAAAGAATTAAATCAAATGTAAGCAGGTTTAACAATTCACTTTTTAGTAAGCCTAATTATTATTTTTGTAATTATTTCAATTTAACGTTTAACAATTTTTATTTGTAAATTATACAAAGCCTTCAAGAATTTATAAATGACACAAACAAGTCAAAAGGGTGGGTGCACAACATCTTTAGTATGTCCAAAATTATTTATTCGATTTGTAAACTGTATTATAAAAATATTCCAGGACATTCAAGATATGTAATTACAGTATATTCTATAAGAATAACTTTTTATTTTACTCACAAGAGGCGAAGAACTGGTATATACAGTGCCTTGCAAAAGTATTCACCCTTACCAATAATGTCACATTTTGATGAAATACAAATAATGTAAGCAAGTTTTTTAATGAACTTGTTTTGATTCAAAACTCTAATGATCAAACTTAACACTGTTATGTGCGAAGGAGGTTGAATGTCAAAAAAACTTGCAAAGAAAATATATAAATTGAAATTTGCTGATTGCATAAGTATTCAGCACCATAAGTCAGTAGTTGGTGGAAGCACTTTTGGCAGCAATTACTACTGTGAATCTTTTTTTGGATAGGTCTCTACCAGCTTTGCATAATGGAATGGTGTAAGTTTCCTCTTCTTCCTGCCAAAATTAGTTCAGTTATGACAAGTTTGTTGGGAATCGTTGATGGACTGTAATCTTCAAGTCTCGCCATAAATTTTCCATTGGATTCAAGTCAGCACTTTGATTGGGCCACTCAAGAAAATTCACTTTCTTCTTTTGAAACCACTCCAGTGTGGCTTTGGCCTTGTGTTTGGGGTCATTGTCCTGCTGAAATGTGAATTTTCCTCTAGGATTCGCCTGTCCTTTGCACTATCCATCTCTCCCCTCCCAATTCTCACAAGCTTCCCTTTGATGAGATGCATCCCCATAACATGCTGTTGCCACCATCTTGACAGTTGGGATGATGTTGACTAAGTGATGTGCTGTGTTGGGCTTGCGCCAGACGTAACGCTTTAAATTTAGACCAGAAAGCTCAATTTTTATTTCGTCTGACCACAAAACCTTCTGCCACATCTCTGCAGTATCAATTACATGGATTGTCGCAAACTCCATACGAGATTTAAGATGATTCTTTTTTCAGTAATGGCTTCTTTCTTGACATTCGCCCATACAGACCAGCTTTATGTAGGGACTGGGATATTGTCGATTTATGAACACTGACTCCCATCTCAGACATGGAACTTTGCACATTTTTCAAAGTCACTGTTGGCTTCACAGTGGCATTGCTAATCAGTTTCCTGCTTGCCAGGTTTCTTAGTTTGGAAGGCGGCCTGATCTGGGTAGTGACTGGGTGGTATGAAGCACATTCCACTTCTTAATGATGCACTAAAAGGGATAATCAGCGACTTTTAAATTATCTTGTAACCTTCTCCTGATCTGTGCTTCTCTACAACTTTATCCCTGACTTGTTTGGAGAGCTCCTTGGTCTTAAGGTTTAGTTTGTCGTATCACTGTGTGAGTTGTGGCTTGAACAGATGCATTTACTCTGAAACCACTTTGATTACACACAGACAGAAACCATTACACTAATTTTGTGACTTTTCAAACTAATCTTTTGCACTTGAACTGATTTAGGGTTGCCGTAGCAAAGGAGTTGAATTTTTATGCAATTGAGAATATTCTAATTTTCTTTGAAATTCTAACTTACTTACATAACATCAGTATTTTTTTAGCTTTCTCAGTCTGGAGTAGATTGTGTAGATTCTAAATGTAATGTCCCCTTTGAAAGTTTCATGATTGCAAGCTCAGACGGGAACAAAATGTGGAAACTTTGCAACAGGGGGGTGAACACTTTTGCAAGGCACTGTATAGCAAAATCTTGTAATAGAAATAGTTCCTGATGTAAAGTAATCTTGAGCTGAGTGTGAGGATCCATGGTTCGCTTCCCGTTGTTTCAAACAAAATAAAATCGCGTTTCGCACTCTGGGGTCATGGACACATTTTAATAGTGACGGTCAATTCCCACTAATCGATTAGAATTACTCATGAGATGGCGTTGGATACTGTTGACTAGCTACTTTTTTTTATTATTATTCCTGTAAACTCCCAGTGGAGCATAGGGCCGCGACAACAACTCGCCAACGGAAGTTGTTGTTGCAGTTACTTGTAGCAGGTTGGTTTTTACGGGGTGGAGTTGCTAGCCCCGCGCCCAACCCTCCTCCTTTCTCATCCTGGACTTGGGACCAGGCAAAGGCGGAGGTTGGCATATTTGGTGTGACGGGGATTCGAATCCGCGACCCTCATATTACGAGTCGAGCGCCCTAACCACCTGGCCATGCCGGGCCGGACTAGCTACTTTACCTGTAGTGTATTAGTTCAAAATTAGTGACGGCTTGAGAAGAATAAAAAGAGAGAAGATAGCCGTTATGTAGCTTTGCGCAAATATCCGAAACGAAAAAAAAATCATCTACATTTGCCTGGTAGTTCAAGTACTCGACTTACAATCTTTGAGTTATGGGTTCGAATCCCGTTACCGAACAGGCTCGGCCTTTCTGCCTCGAGGGCATTGTAACAAGACGGTCAATCTCCCACTATCGTTTATAAAGAGTAAAACAAGAGTTGGCAATGGGTGGTATTTATTAGCTGTCTTCCCTCTAGTCTATCACTTCAAAATTAGGTAAGACTAACACAGATAGCCCTGAAGTAGCTATGCGCGAACGTAAACAAACAAACAAAGTTTAATATAAAATACTCATTCACATGATACTTTAAGTATGATTAAATGATCTAATCGAATAGAACCAGTGAGAATATATACAGAAGCGAATATGAACTAACGCATACTATTTGAATTTTGTAACGTATAAACACTGGTTATCTCCTGGCTCAAGTGTAAATAACCTGTTTTGGTTGACCATCAGTAACAAAATTGCTAAAAATATACTTAGAGACTTTCTAATAAACGAATAATTCTTATCAAAAATGGATATACACATAGGAAATATTTTACGTAACCTATTTGGCAACTAAAATGAAAACTGATAACTCATCCGTTGAGAAACCAGTCATCCAAATTGCTTGGTTTTTATTGAGAAATCAGCACCCTATATTGTTTGATTTTTATTGAGAAATTGCAGTCGAAATTATTTGATTTTTATTGAGAAATCGCAGTCGAAATTGTTTGATTTTTATCGAGAAATCCCTCTAGTTTTATACTGCTAAATTAGGGAAGGCTAGCGCAGATAGCCCTCGTGTAGCTTTGCGCGAAATTCAAAACAAAACAAACTTATTGAGGAATCAGCAGCTATATTGTTTGATTTTTATTGAGAAATTGCAGTCGAAATTGTTTGATTTTTATTGAGAAATCAGCACCTATATTGTTTGATTTTTATTGAGAAATCACAGTCGAAATTATTTGACTTTTATTGAGAAATTGCAGTCGAAATTGTTTAATTTTTATTGAAAAATTGCAGTCGAAATTATTTGATTTTATTGAGAAATTGCAGTCGAAATTGTTTGATTTTTATCGAGAAATCCCTCTAGTCTTATACTGCTAAATTAGGGAAGGCTAGCGCAGATAGCCCTCGTGTAGCTTTGCATGAAATTCAAAACAAAACAAACTTATTGAGGAATCAGCAGCCCATATTGTTTGATTTTTATTGAGAAATCGCAGTCGAAATTATGTTTTTTTTAAATCAGCAGCCTATGTTGTTTGATTTTTATTGAGAAATTGCAGTCGAAATTGTTTGATTTTTTTAGAAATCAGCAGTCGAAACTGTTTAGTTTTTACTGAGATATTAGCAGTAGAAATTGTTTGTTTGTAATCTATACATCTTAATTATTACTCACAAGTTCTTCAACAAATGCACATATACACTTGAACATTTTATCCAAATGCTTAAAATTAAGTTTTCAATAAAGAAGCGCAATTTGTGAAATTTTGTTTTATTTATTGTTTGGTTTGCTGAAAGAAAAATTTTAAAATTTACAATTTTTCGGATTTTTATACAGGAAAATCAGTTACTTTAATTTTATGATGTGTATTTTTGTATTTTTCGTTTAAAAACTGGCAAAAAAAATGTTGTGGCTTGAAGGGCTTACTAAAAATATCACTGGAGAAAATATCACAGACAAACTTTCTCTAAAAACGAATAGTTCTTAATCAAAATGGCGTTACACTTAGACATGTTTTTTCGGGTTCTTATATGTCATTTTTTACGGCAATTTATTTAATTTGTTACACTTATTTCACGGATATTCTCATATACGAATTTTGGATTTTAAAGTTTATTTGTTTGTTTTTAGAGTAAAGCCACATTTGGCTATCTACTGTGTATGTCTGCGGACTTACAACGCTAGAATCCGGGTTTCGATACCCGTGGTGGGCAGAGCACAGATAGCCCATTGTGTAGCTTTGTGCTTAAATACAAACAAACAATCTACTGTGTCCGTAAACCTACCGCAGTCCCATCGGGGGAAGAAAATATATTATGTGAAACCGAAATAAATAATACCTTGTTTTTAAGAAAAATATCTGCACAGCATGCAGTCTCTCTGCTGTGACCACCACAGGAAGTTGAACCCACAATTTTTAGAGTTTTTATGGGCGAGCCACCGAAAGTTACTACATATAGTACTTAGAAACATGCTGAAATACATAATTTTGGTAAGAGTTGTATCGGGTTATAAAATGTCCAATGCTTTCGTATACGTCTCGCAGTACACGAAATTCGGCATTTTGTAGCTTTCTGCCCAGCACCAAACTTCCATGACAAAAATCTGTAAGCAAAAACATTGAACAGTTGACTGAAAAAGCAAAATATTTTATTTTGAAAGATCAGCAGTACTTGGAAAAGGTGGTAAACGCTCTGGGAGAAATATCATATTTTTAAATGTATCTTTATCGTCTAGCCCGTATTATAAGTTATAATACAACTATCTGAGGCAGAAACATTGGATTGGTGTGATGTTAAAAACAACATTTCGCTGGTGTTTACCCGACATCATCTAGATCTAATCGTTGTTTTTAATTATTCCAACTTTAAGCTAAAATAAAGGACTTACTTTGAAGTACTATAATTTCAACTGTACCCATTACTTTCCTTTTAAGGAGGTGCATCGAATATTGGAACAGCGATGGCAGTTTCTCTTGCCACATTGACCAGTAGTACAGATCAGGTCCCAGAAGGGATGATGGGAATTATGTATGACCAAGACTTTCAGGAGTTTGTATATGCTAGCAACGCCTCAGCTACAATACCCTCAACGCTACAGATGGCGAGCACAGGAGCCACTCCCACTCCAGATCCATCTAACACTAACAATACAACAACACCCATTCAACTTACGAACAATAACCAGGAGTATCTTCTTCCTGAATTATTGGTAGACGATGCCCTCCATTTAATGGACGTCACTGGGGAAGGTACGGTCCATTTAGTGTTGTTTTCTATGAAATATATAAAAAATAAACGATTTTTTATTAAATGCGACATAAATTATTAGTATAGCCACAGTCTCTTTAAGTACTTGAAAATACATATTTTATAAGTAATACTGAATTTCACCTTCACTTTGTAGTATTGCTAAGAATATGTGTGGTGTAATCGATCAAATATGTCTATTATCATTACAATAAAAATTTCTTAAGCTTCAACAGAAAATTCAGTAAAATTGACAAAAACAATTTCTAAACAAAAATATATTGTTGCATTATTTTTGGAATAGCCCAGCACTAATTGAGAAGATTGAGAAACTTAATAATAGTAAAAAAAATAAAAATAAAAACAACAGAAAAGTAACACTTTGCTAACTTTAATTTGTATTGTTTCGGTAGATTTGAACTTAACCAGTCTATTGCAAATGCCATGTCCTGAAGATGCAACAGAGAAATCAAAACAGTAGTCTAGAGAAGAGAATAAAATGAACATATTTATATCTAAATATCATATAAAACGTGTAAACACAATTTCTGATGATAAAGAAAAAAAAAATCGTTTCTCCTCTATACAGGCTCAAACCGGTTTCTTCCATCGGTTAATTTGCAATTACGATCAGGAGAAAAACGAGAGGAAATGATTAGCGATTCAGCTGTATCTTCGCTAGGTCCAGATCGCGTACAGTCGTTGTCCGAAGCTGTAAGTTGTAATGTTGTATGTAAAAATGCACGTGTTTCTTAGTGGATATGTTGATTCTAAGCGAATTAGGCAAAAACGTGTCTTCATTATCAAATCGAATAAAAATTTACTTGTTTGTTAATAGGCTAAAAGTAGCAAACTGAGTTCTGTAGAATCATCATTAATACTTAAAGTAACTTGTAGTAAAAGTCTGCATGATTCCTAATAGGCTTGGTTATTTTTTAAATACTTTGAAAAGTGTACTTACCTGATTAATATTTGGAACATCTTCCAAAAAAGTTCACATTTGCACGTTTCTTTATAAGTTTTCTGATGTTATAAAGGTTATAATTAGTATAATGCTATTTTACAAACGAGGATTAGCATAGTTCTTGATAAGTATTTGTGATTTTTCTGGGAAAAAAAGCTTCTTAGTGGATGCGTTGGTGCTAGAATGCTTATACGTGTTATATTTTATCCAAATACACGTAATTAATTGTTCCCGTTTTTCCTTGTATAGCATATAATAATCAATATTTTTATGTGGATATTTTAACAAAACAAGACTGTCTTATGTTTAAATACATTGGCTTTTTCCTGCTCAAATTTACCAACTAAGGCATGAAATCAACGCACGAAAGAAAAAATGTCAGGTGTTTTTGTTCATGTTTTATAACATTTTTTTCGTGCCTTTGTTTAATAAAAACTGTTTTTTTTTATTGTCGGTATTTAAAAAAGGGGTGGGTATAAGATAAAGATTTTTATTCTAACTTATGCAGGAGTGGATTGACACCTGTTCTGAAAATTCATCCAATCATGGCGAGCAAGACACTTCTAGCTATGCAGTTGACGCTAATGATCATTCTCGCCACCTAGTGTCAGAAGTACAAGAATGTCCTGTCCCATTGCAATATTCGAATAACCAGCACCTCTTGGTGGCAGAGAAAAAATACAGATTGTTCGGTAGAAGACCGCTAAGCTACCAGAGCGCGGTAAGTTTATACGAGAAATTATTGATATTTGTATTCATGGAAATAAATCAATAAGTCCCACTTGTTTCAGTGTATGTTTTTAATGCTTTCATTAAACTTAATGTGCGTATATAAAGCTATTATGGCTGATGTAAGAATGTACAAAAAGAGAATTTGATTAACTTAAAATCTTA